GAACAAGCACATGAGTTGTGGTGTTTTTTATTAGTTCACAGGTCTACAAATTCAGAAGTTTTAGTTCCAGAGATAAAACAAAAAACCAAATGTCAGAATCATCTATTTGAATATCTTACAACCAGTTTTGACATTCATATCCCTATATTCCTACAACAGCAGAAATAGGTGAGGTGTATATTCTTGCATGCCGAGTTTGGTCACAGTTTGATCAGTTCATCTTTTTTGTAAAGAAAGAATACTCCTTAAGACTTTTTTTCTGCCTATGTTCTGGGAAATCCTCCATAGAAATACCAGTGAGTGACAGTCAGGTATTTAAAGGATGTGTGCTTTTTACTTTCTGAACTTCAGCTCATCTTTTAGAGGAGTAATTTAGAGGAAAAGAACCATTTCACTTTATCTGTCTGAGCTGACAGAAGCTATGGAACGAAGCAATTTTGGGGACTAGACAACAAGTATAACTGGGCATATTTGGAGAAGGCTATTGTCTTCTTTGGTATGTTGTTATTCATTCTCAAAGTGTCTGGACCATTTTAAATCATACAGAATAGTAGTACTTCACTGGTTTTGTGGTAAGGTATTGGTGAAAAATACTATATTGATGTTCATAGTCTACAAGCAAACTTTTCTGTCATTTTCCCATATTCCTTATATATGGGAAAGTACTGTGATGTTGAAAACATTATATGTTTGCTGGTATTAAATGCAAACATATTAACGTCAGGAATTCTGCATTTGCTGAGGAACCCTGAAAAACAGGTTTTACTGCTGCCCTAAGATTAATCAAGAAGATAATCACATCTTACTCCATAAATTATCCATCTTTCTTTTTATTATTTTGAGATTACTGATAGACACATAGCATTATGTATTTTAATGATGTAGAAACTGACAGTTCTGTACAGGAAGAATTTTTAGATTTAGTTGCATAGCCGTGACTAGCTTCTAGACAAAGTTTTTAGAAATTCTGTATAAATACAGAAACAAAAGTTAATATCCCCTTGAATAAAACATAGAAAAAGCTGTTAAATCATTGTAATATTCTAACTGTCTTGGGAACTCCCAAAATTCATTAAGTTCCAAGGGAAGGCCGGGGACTTGTTCAGGCATGCTGCTATTTCCCTTGGATAGTTTTGTCTTTAAAAGGTGAAACACTAAATTACCCACTTGGGAGAAGGTTTAGAAAACATATGATTCTTTAATATTATGCACTTGGACCCCAGAAGGACTCAGACTTTATTAGTACACTAATTCACAAGATTTCTTTCAGAGACATGGGAGATACTAAAGCAAAGTCTGAATTTTACCAAGTTTCCCTATACCTCCTGGGTTCTAGGAAAACTTGTAGCTATAGTAGAAGGTTGAAATGTTTATTGTAACAGAAGTCTTCCCAATATATATTTGTTTCCTTTCCAAAGACAGCTTGACTATCACCAATAGGGCCTTTTTTTTAGGATTTTAAGAAAAATGGTAGTTTGAATGTGGGAAAATTAGTCTGAACTCCTTTATGCTCAAAACATTTTCTTTTCTGCCTCAGACATGCATGTTTTGACTTAAACCATTTCCTGTTTAAGGGTAGAAGAGCAGCAGATAGGTAAACAGAGAACATGTAACATTCTGTCAAAAATAACCCCAAAATTATTTATAATTCCTTTATCTGGATTTTGGTGAGACAGGTGGCTTCCCCCCCAACGCCTGTGGCAGCATTTCACTCCCTGTTTCTGATTGTCGAGCCAGTGGGCTGCCCTCACTCCTGCTGGGCCGGCAGGCGCCATCCAGGGAGCAGACGATGGTGACATTTGCTCCAACTGCTCTAGCGGTTCTGCTAGCCCTGCTTTTCTGCAAGGGTACACATGGTTCTGCAAGTGGGATCACACAGAGTTCTCTTCTATAAAATAGACTCTTAAGCAGACTCCTCTGCCTTTAAAAGCTTTTAGACTCTGACTTTTTGCATTAGAAAACTTAAAAATATTGCCTTAGATTAGGGCAGCCACTCAGCCCATGGACATTTGGGCTTAATTACTCGTCCCAGGCTCTACACACTCTCATAACTGTAAACTCTCCTTCACTCCACCTTATAATGTGCAGATGCTTTTAACAGAAATACCTCCCAAATACGACTGGCAACAACATACACAAATTGAATAAGTTTCAGGCTTGCTTGATGGTGGGGTTTTGTGCTTCTCTCCACTGGGTTGCACTCATCACTAGCCATGATGTTTTAAAAATGTATTTTAAAGGTGTACATCTAAAATATATTTGAAGAAAGGTTTTGAAATATGGAAATCAGCCATCCTGTTGTTTTATAGTGATGAAAGTAGAAGAAGTTCTGAATGTCGAATGTTGAAATGACAGTAGTCAACTAATTCATGGGTAAAAGTCTACTGGGTTCCCTTTCTCGTAAGGGATTTTTAATGGAAAAATAATGAAAAATAAAATAGAATTCTGTGCAAAAAAATCAATTTAAAAATAAATTAAATTATATAGCGTCATTCTAACCTAGATCAAATTCCTTAGAAAATTCTGTGACGGTTGCAATATTATGCAATCAGAGAAAGTTCAATCAAAATCAGATTTAAAGGAATGGAAATTTTTCTTACTACAGAAGCATACATTCGAAATAACTCCAGCTTCACCTGGTATCAGATTATGAGAGTCAAATAATTTATTAGTCTTTAAAAGCAAGTTAATCCAATTGGAAATATTAAAATTATTAAGAAAACACGTGAGTATTGCATTGTTTCAGCTTTACAAATTGTTAAATAAGAGTTAGGAAAAGTATGAATGAATTTGATGTATCCTCTGGCAATTAAGACAATATAATTTCTATGCAGAACAGTCTTCTGTAGTAAGTTAGAGGATGTGTTCTATTAAGTAATTTCTACTGTAACTATTTACATAATTCTTTTTTGTACAAGTCATTTATTAACAATATATACTTTACTATAAACTCATTCAGCAAAATCCTAGCCACATAAAATTTGTTTTCAGTTTTTCCATTTGTTTCACTGGAACCATAATCTCATCAACTACCTTTTGGAGATGTTCACAAGCGAATGAGTCAGGGAAATTGTAGAAGTGACCAATCATTTCATTCTTTAGAAAGGTGTTTGGCAGTCAGTGTAATCATTTACTTATCTGTTTAGGCTTCTCTGAATCAAATAATTAAAGAAAATCTGTGGTTAGTTCAGGAATATAAAATCTTTCATAACTACTAATTAAACAGTAAAGATCTCACAGAACTCTACGACAATAGTATCAGGTTGGAAGCTGCTGCTAGTGACCATCAGCAGATAAGTGTTAATATTGCTCATTCAATTAATTGTTCTCACCTCTAAAATTCAATGGTTGCAACTATTTAATAACATTAGAATACTTGCAGTAATACCTATCACCAGAATTCTCCTTTTCTTCTTGGATATTTCACACTTTCCTATTTTCATTTTTTGCTTATTTGCTGTAGTGGGGTATTTTATTATTTTTACAGAGCAGTTCATGTAAGGTTCTCAAAATATATTATTCATAAATTCCACTTTTGCATCTGAAATGTATTTATTTTTGTATATAAATACCTAATGCAGTAATTAAAATTTACTGTTACATATAACTTCTCCATAAAACATTTCTTCTGCTAATTGTGAGTTTTATGACATTAAGACTTTAATTCAGAAAACAGTCAAGTGAAAATCAGAAAAAGTAAAATCTATGACGATGAACTTGAAGGTATAGTGGCCAGATGTAGTGTTTTATTGACTCATTAGATACAACTTGAAAGATTTTCTTTTTTTTAGGTTAACAGTGCTGTGAAACCTGAGTCAAATGATATTTTAGAACTTCATTGTGGCAATGACAGAAAAAATATCTTCTGTTTCTTTTCCTTGTGTTTATACATAGCTCTCAAAATAAAAGCTTATCAGTACCAACCGTAATCCATTAAAAATATGATTCAGGTGTTTTAGGTTATTCCTTGATTGCTTTCAATGCCTACATTTTGGAAAATAATATGCATTTAAGTTATCATCAGACCTTACCTTCATATCAGCAATTTCAGGTAAGTATCTTTATTAACTCAGATCATACACAGGAACCAGGTCCTGATATTTTGGTACTTTAGTCCATTTTCTAGATGTACAGTGTAGAAGTGTTCAAATAAATACATTAGATGTAAAATTCAGATTATTTGCCCTAACATTACTCTTAGCAGTCCATTTTATGTCTTATATCTGTAAGTTCACTCATCGGTCATTTTTTCATAATATTGCCATTAATTTTGCATTTCAAAATTTGCTGGATTCACTTTGCTACTGACAAATATAAATAAGAAAATTCCTTCCAAGGTGTTCTCAGTAACTATAGATGTCTTCTGTATTTCAGAACAAAACTCTCTTAAGTCACATGTTAGACATAACCCTATTTGAAGGAAAAGTTGGAGATTTAAAAACTGGAAGAAATTATTGCCTATCTTTCTTCACCAAGTGAGTGTAAATTATGTTCTGTTGATACGACAGCAGAGGCAATGCTATAAGTATTGAAACGTTTTCCTAAAGGGACTGTATTATATTAAGAATTTAAAGTATTTTTTTCTGAATGAAGAATTAGGGTACACTCCCTTCCAACCTCTTTACAGAGAAATGTATTTGTGTAAGTTTATCAACTGGACCTTTTATTTCTTTGAATGTAAGAGTATCTGTTTTCCACATTCTCAGAATTTAATAGTTCTTGGTAATATCTGCAAAAAAGATTTTCCACTCAATAGTTTTCCTCTTCTGGACATAGTATGGATGATATTATCATGCATCTCAATGATGTAGTCTGGAAGCAAAAGAAAATTGCAAATGAGCTGGCATATATTATTGCTTTTTTCCTTCTCAATTTGAATACAATAAAATAAACATAGTAAAATACATCAAAATAGCAATGCAATACCAACATGATCTAGTTTCATTAGAAATGCTATATAGTAATTTTTTTTTTTGCTTTTTAAAATCTTGTTTATGAAGAAAATGGTTATGAAGGTGTTGTTATTCTATAGGAGCTTATAATCAGTATTTCAGTACACATACCAAGCTTGAGGTAGGAATTAGTGATGGCAACGCTTTGGACAGGCCTCAGTGCCATTCAGCAGTGGTATGTGTATGAAGAATAGAAATTCTCCTCACAATACTATTTTAAGGATTACAGAGTCAATCTAAATTCCTTTTTGATAACTCTTCATTTTGTTAAATAAATAACTGGTCAAACTACTAAAACATTCCTACCACTCTCGCATAAAGAAAGTATTCAGGAATTATGATAAAAGGAAAAACCACGTTGGTTACATACACTAGCTATGAAAAGACACGTATTCTTCTCAGGTTTTTGCTAATAAGTGAAGTACAGCAGCATCAGAAAATCAATTCTGGAGAAGTGTCAAAGTAATGATCTTTCTTGGTGCTCTGCTACGTACGTACACCGGTACAACAACAGGAACATTCAAGAAGGAAGTGGGTTTATCCTTAATTCCTTAGAATTTGCTTTCCTATATATATAATTAGTCAAAATTAGAAGCCAATTTTTACTAATACAAATGTAAAAGCAAATTACCTTTTTTTTTCCTATTTTTTAAATATTATTTTTCTTCATTTTAACTGGAAATACCCACAAAGTGTTCAGGGCCAGGCTGAATGGGGCTCTGAGCAACCTGGTCTAGTGGAAAGTGTTTCAGTCCAACCAGAGAGTTTGGAACTAGATGATTTTTAAGGTTCCTTCCAACCCAAACCATTCTATGATACTGTGATTCTAATGTTTAATTTGATCAAATATCAGTGTAGTCAAATATCACTCTGAACAAGAAAAATATTTCTCTATAGTTCTTTGTCTTGAGATACTCTTATTATGAATTTGTTTTTCTCAGTGGTTTACCCTCTGAAACAGCACTTTCCTCCACAAAAACATTCTTCATATATCCTTTATATCTATATCTTCCACTAATCAATGGGATATCTGTCATATTGAAAGTGCTAGCTTCATTATAAGATAAATCACACATTTTCATTTTCTCTAGATGACTTTGGAATAAACTGTAACAGGTCTTGATAATATCTTTAAATTCATCCTATGTAGTACCTAATATTTTCCCTAAATATTTGGGTTTGAGTGTTATGGTGGGTTTTGCTTGGTGGGTTTTGTTTGTTTTTCAGTGCTGATAGGTTATTAGTTTGTACCTGTGTATTTTGGTGTGGCAAAATCCTCTGTGTAAGAGATTTGTAGATTGGTCTTTTTGTGGTAGACAGCAACAAAATCTTGCTTAATACAACTTCTCCCCTACAAATATATAGCAGCAGTTTCTTTTGGAAATCTTAATGTGCTAACATATTCGCACCAGGATTATGATTGTGCTTTAAAAACAAATCTAGTTATTTACCATATCTTTCTTTTTGCACTGAATAAGCTTAGAATTTATAATCGATGAGCAAAATTTGATACTTCTGATGTGTTGTCCTAATGTGTCAGTGTTTGTACTGTAGACAACAGCTTTTGTTCTCATAGTTAAATTAAGGAAGATTCCTAAATATAAAAGTATGGCGTGTCATTATAACTTAAGAACTCCTATCTGTTCTTAATATTGCAAGCAACGTTGCCTTACAAAACACTGATAATCTATTTTTTCACATAACTTTTATTTAAAGACTATAATGCAAACTATAATTGCTTTAAAACATAAGTAAAATATTCATTCTTGTATTCACTGTTATCTTCAAGTGGCCATGTTACAGTAATATATTGGGGGAAGGAGCCCTATTGATTCCTGTTTTGTTTTTTTTTTTTTTTTTACTTTCTGGATAACTGACATATTATTGCAGTAAAACATATGTAGGGTCAATTCATGCTGAATAGTTATTAGAAACCATGATAACAAAAGTCATTACACTGCAGTTCAGTTTTGACAGTAAAATTTCTGCAACATTATCACAAATCCTCATGCATTAGTGCAATGATCCTTACTATAGTTTCATATTAGAATCAAAAGACTGCTGTAGCATGCTTGATACAAAAAGTCCTGCAAGACAAGTGAAGTTCTTTTATGCTTTTACAGATAACATATTTTCATGTCTTTCTCATGCACGTATCTGAGCCTGAGCACTCCTGGATATTTCTGTTTTTAGTATATTTCTCACCTGGGATACGACTGTTTTAAAATAATATCCATGCTGTTTAGAAAGGCCAAATAGAACACAAAGTAGACCCAATAATGGGCACATTTCAGTTTAGGCAATGAATTCCTTCTGATTTTGATGTTTCCGTTTACTGACATAAAGGGAAAAAAAAATTATTTTTCTCATATAATCAAAAAAATAATTTCTATCTCTATATTGTGGTTTTAGTTCACTTATCTGGAGATCTTGGTTTGGTTCATGTCATCACAGTACTAATAATGAAAGCACGGAAAAGATTTTGGCAAAAAATACCCCACCCATTCCCCCTTCTTTACAGATCTTAAAGGAAAAATAAAACTCTCAAAGATTCAATGTGAAGATGCAGAAAATTATTATAATTTTATCTCTATCTAAATTAAATTCTAAACCAGCTTTCAGTAATGTTTTGATTTGGAACAGAAATGGGTAATTGAGCTGAAATTTGGTATTCGTCAATACAACAAGACTAGATAGTAACCACTAAGCAAAAATGCATTATAAGCAGGTTGTTTAACTGAAGTTCTCTTTGCGTTTAGAGTTTTGATACTATAATTCATTGACAGAATAGCCAGTTTTATATGAAAACATGAGGGAAAAAGACATATCTTCAATAAGCTTTTCATTACGTAAATTTACTAAACATTCTTAGAGCTGATTATATTTAAACAATGTAAACATCAAGTTGATGTTAGGATTAAATTTGTATCAATAACTTAATAAGTTCAAATGACTCAGTTAGAAAATTAATGCAACAGGCTGCCAAACCAAATTATTGTTTTGATAGAAAAAGGATGTTATCAAGCTAATTTGTGGAGAAGTCAGTCTCCTTTCCAGATGCATCAGAGACGTCAGTGGCTAGTCAGATCACAGTTTTGATGCACAGGACAACATTTTTGCATCACAGAATGCAGTGAAATCTATAGGACTTCAGTGTTAGTTAATCTTACTGTCACCCAGAAGAAGGTGTCCCATTACAGCAAGTAAAATCTCTTTGTTCTGGTGTGCTGGTTTATTTTTTCTTAGTAAAAGAAATGTAGATATTTGGTAATTTGGTTAGGCATTTAATTTTAAAATTGAGTGTTCTCTAATGCCTGGGGATTAAAGATGATGGAAAGTTGGGGTTT